TCCTCCCAATAGCACCAGCCTTTATGTTTTAATCCCTGTTTCCAAGTTCTAAGACTGCTAATGCTGCACATTCTCATAGATGATTTATTAGTCTCTTTAGGAAGGTATATTTCTGCAAGGATCATGTCATTTGCAAGACATATGGCAGAAGGGAGCTTTAGTTAAGGCATGGTGAACTAAATTACATCAGGTTTTGCCTTGGCAAGGACACCAGATGGATGCCTTTATGATGAAGTGGGTCTCCTCCAGCCTTTTCTTTTACGAAGGCCTTCAACAGGTGTTTCCTCTGAGGCATATCTGTTTTCCATAACATCAGAAGGAAAAAAGAAATGAATGAAGAATGAAGAAAGCTGTCTGTGACAGCTTGTGTACATAGATCTTGCTTTTATTATGATAGGAAAGTGTATAGCGAATGATTTGCTATTCTGAGTCAACTTAAAATATGCTTGTGAGAAGAATATCTTCCATTTGCCAAAGGGCATTTAATTTTCAGATTAAAGACTCTTCATTCGTTATGGGTGGGATAGGGGGTGGGAGGGTCAAGGAGGAGAAGTGTGGAGAAGATGAAGAAAGTGATCAGAAGGAAAGTAGTGGCACTGGTTTTAAACTTGAGTGCTGAGGGCAGTGTGTAGGAAGCCACCTCCCTAAAGGGAACTGGATGCATTATTTCAGCATCTGAGGGAAGATGTCTAGGAAACAACACATGGAGAGAAAATAAGCTTCTATGAATGAGTAGTAACATAGTCAGTTCTCCAAATTCTGATAAGCATCAAAACCAGACTTGGGCTTATCTGTGTTGCTTTTAACAACCTAGGCATAAAGCCATCACCATGGTTCTGTCTGGTACCATTAAAAGAATCAGCATGGGGGAGCCTGGAGAGGGTAGGTGGAGGGAGTCAATGAGGAAAAAAAGGGGACATATGTAATACTTTCAACAATAAGGATAAATAAGAGAGAGAGAGAGAGAGAGAGAGAGAGAGAGAGAGAGAGAGAGAGAGAGAGAGAGAGAGAGAGAGAGAAGAACACGCCTGTGCGGCTCTTAAGATTCCGGGTTGGGGCTCATGACTTAGGGATATTTAAACCACAAAAGGTATTTTAATTCAAATGAACAAGGTAACCCATTCTGGTAAAGCTGACTTTGAGGCTTATATCACAACATCTTCTGGCTAGGTAAATGACTAGAATCCATTAAGTTTGTAAGTAGGTCTTAAATGGAGGGGAAAATAAGGGTTGAACCTAGGCCTTGGCTGGTGTCATTAGCAATTAGCCTCTCCACTTTTCCAAACCCTTTGGCAGTGCCCCATCCTCCCACTCCGGCTTTTCCAACTGGGTCTTCTCTCAGTCCAATCACTTTAGGTCTGACACCTCAATCTCAGTTTACCTGAGTTATTTTGTCTGAAAGAAATATGACTTAAGGTATTAATTTAGAAACTAACCTGGTAAAAAGAGAGGGAGAGAGAGAGAGAGAGAAAAAAAAAAAAGGCCTGTCCTTATGTTGGAGTCTCGGACTTTGGGCCATGTGTTGAATTATAAGCTATATTAATTCACAGGGAAAACCCCTAACCCTTCAGCACAGAGAGCAATCAGTTGTATTGCTCCTAGGATGTAGAGTAAAATCTCACAGGAGAATTCTGTCATAGGCTATTGATTACAAGGGCAGAGCCTTTAGTGTAAAATAGTATTGTGTATCTCCAAAAAGGTTTCAAGGGATAGTTAAAATTATCTTACCTAATAATGGAAAAACATGCTAATTGACTGTACCTTTGTGATGCCCACAGCCAATCAGGAGTGAGTAACCAACAAAGATGGCTGTTAATTTGCATATGAGGCTGCTCTGGGCCTCTGATCAGCATAGGAAGGTAGTAGGAAGGTAGAAAGGTGGCTCTGGTTCAAAGGGAAAGGAAGGCCCATTCTGGCACAAATCTTTGTGCATTGGGCTTCTAGTTTTTAAATATAATGAAATAAGTGATAAAAAGTTTTTGTGGTGAAATAAGTGTGTGAAACACTTTTTATACAAACTTTATAGGATTTTATTTTTGCAAAGCTTTTCAGGACCTTCTTATGCTAAAGTGTAGTGTGAATCTCAAAGAGGCAATACTTTTCTCAAAATTTATTTGACTAGTACACAAAACAGTTCCTTAGATCTTTTCTGTTGCTGATATTCCACAGAACATGTTCTTTAGAAAAGGCATTTATGTTAAGACAGATTGGACTTATGCTGTGGTAGCAATTAATGAAATCCCAGTGGCTTAGCACAACAAGTGTGCATTTCTTGTTCATGTTGCATGTGCAACACAGGTCAAGCAGGCCAGGGCACTCTCTTCACATAGCCACTCGTGAATTCTGGCTGGTCTTCTCTATGGCAGGTTAGAGGAGAGCCTGAGAATAGCATGGGGACTTTCACTATGTCAATCATCACTTCCCACATTCCATTGGCCAAAACAGGTCATGTGGCCCCTTCCCACTGCCTGTATGCTAAGGAAGGAAAGAATTGGATGTCATGAGCCCCAATAATCTCAACCACAGGATTATATTGAAGCACTAGCTTTATAATTTGTTAGCTCTTTGTCATTTATCCATAACATAAAGGGTGTTCTTTAAAATCTCTTTCAGAGACAGAAATGCTCATCAAATATTTCAATTGCTTCCTACATTCCTCAGCCCCCTTATAGTTAGCAGGACGCATGTAACTAGTTCTGGTCAATGAAATATGAGCAGAAATGATGTATGCCACTCTGGGCCACAACGTAAATACCTGGCTTGATTCTCCAGTTCCTTTCTCTTCCCTTGCCTTAATGACTGAGGAGGATATATGTGCCAAGTGTGTCACCTTAAGATGGTAGAGCCTCTGTCCTCTTAAGACATTGAATGGTTGTGTGAAGCAGACAAATCTGTTGACCTGAGTTATTATAGGTAAGAAATAACCTGTTTTGTGTTAAGCCCCAGGTATTTTGATGTCATTTCTGCATACTCTACTTAGATTCTCTTGACTTAAATAGGTCCTTTTGAATATTAAATTTTCTGTGATTTTAAGAGTTTATTTTATTTTCTAACAAGCAAATATTCATTCCTTAGGATATGAGTAAAATTTTTCAAAAGATTGTCTAACCCTTTTTGGTGATTGAATATTTTATATGATAAACTTTGTGCCTAACTGCAGTATAGGGTAATCACATGGAGGGCTTTGCCAAGATCTGATCAAGATTAGAGCAGAATCTAGTTAAATGCAGGTCAGTGATGGAAGTTGTAAATAATTCAAAATGCATTTAATCAGAAAGGATGTTTCAACAGAGACCAATAGGAAAGGTGTCAAAAGGAGAGGGGAAGAAAACTGACTTAAGGAGAGAGATGCTACCCATGCCTTGACCTCACAGCCTTTAAAATTTTATATTCAAGTTCCCAAAACACCTCCCATAATTTCCCCTAAGCAATAATATCATTATGATACTACTAGAAGTCTGGTCATGCAATATGTGCATAGGAGGGTGTCTCTCAGCCCAGCCTGCATCCTCTCCAATCTGGGACCCCTCAGGGGATGTCTGACTGCCAGTTTAGGCCATTGGACATCTCTCTCACAATCTGGGACTGCTGGCTCCTAACTCCTCTGCCTGCCTGCCTGCCTGCCTGCCTGATCATCCCTAACCTCTCTGCCTGCCTGCCAGATTGCCCCTAACTACTCCTACTCCTGCCTGCCTGCCTGATTGCCCCTAACCACCTCTGCCTGATTGCCTGATCACTCCTAACTGTTTCCCTGCCAGCCTAATTGCCCCTGTTGGCCTGATCACTCCCAACTACCCTCCTCTGCAGGCTTGACAGCACCCAACTGCCCTTCCCTGCCAGCCTGATCACCCCTAACCTCCTGCCAGCCTGATCTCATCCCTAACTGCTCTCCCCTGCTGACCTAATCACCCATAACTGCCTCTGCCTCAGCCCCCACCACCTTGTGGCTTTGTCCAGAAAGAAGTCAGACATCTGGAAGATGGCCGGTTGACCCAGTCTAATTAGCATATTACCCTTTTAGTAGTATACATAGATTATATAGGATAAGATTGCTAAAATGGAGTGTGTGTGGTGTGTGTGTGGGGGGGGGGGGGTAAATGAGCCTTTTTCAGCAGGAAGAGATGCTCTTGGCAGACAAAAATGCATAACCCCTATATCTGGACTGATAGCCAGCCATATGCACTGCCAAACTGGTTATTTAAAAATTCAACTGCTTTCTTACATCTTACACCAAATAGCTGTTGCCCTTAAAACCTTTCCTCAACCCTCACCTTAGATTCTGCCTTCACAGTTCACCCACATTAGGTTCTGATTGGTCAGTTTCTATGCCAGTCAGTGTCTCTGGGCTGTGAAAGCTGCAGATCAGGCCCTGCCTTTCTCTCTGGGCCTCTCTCCAGGCCTAATCTGCAGCCTGTATGGCAGTGGTGAGGTCATTATGCCTCTAGCTCAGCCCTAACCATACCTGCCTCCCCTGCCCACCCTCCTCCTCTACTACCCCAACTGCCCACTGGCTGCCAACCTTGCTTTGATAGGAACCTGTAGGCTGTGGAGGAGGGACCAAGAGGTGCTCCATGTACTTCCTGATGACTGTTCATTTGGTCATTTTGGTCATTGAGGCCATTGGCCTTTTATTATGTAGATTGCTTAGGGGAAAATTAAGAGTAGAAAGAACTACCTTCAAAGCATATATAAACTAAAGTAAAAGGTCTGATGTGTCTGTTAAACAAACAGAGATGCACACACACACACACACACACACACACACACACAAACACACACACACACATCACAAAATCCTTGTGACTTTTGCCAAAAGTGTATAGTAGATCTTGAGCTATGATATAGTCTGGACATTCAGCTCTTGTGTCCTATTCTGTAGTGTCAGAAAGCAGAAGTTATTCTTCCCTTTGGGCTCAAGGTTCTAATTAATTTCACATCTTGGCTGTGTTTCACCAGAGCCCCATGTGGCCTCAGGCTAACTCTCCATTCTTCTTATTTAGGAATATTCTCTTGGAAGAATCTGACTATTTTGATAGCAGCGGCATGTTTTACTGGTGTAAAGCAACCCATTTGGAAAAGGTGATTCTGGTAGGTGATCTTGCACCAAATCTCAAATAAAATAAAATTTCTCTTAGAGCAAATGGTACTCTCTCCCTAGTTATAAGTACCTGCCTTTTCTCATTGTAAAATATGAATTTTGGAGGAAAAACACATACCCTACCAGCCAGATGTGACATTTTACAAAGACTATGTGTAAAAATCCTGGGATTTAAAACAATTAGATTCTTCATCTACTTTTTCTCCCCTATAACAGTTTAGCTGAGTCAGTTATTCAGAATAATGTTCTAAAACTTTACTGTTTTGCTAGTAAATCTAATTAATTTAAATGCACAAGGAAACCCCTTATTTATCAGAACTCTGCAGTCTTTCCTTTATAAAGTAACTAGAGGCCAGATGCACAAAATTCGTGCACTCTAGGGTGGGGGGATGGGGTCCTTCAGGCCAGGTTGCACCCTCTTGCAATCTGGGAGCCCTCGGGGAATGTCCGACTAATGGCTTAGGGCTGTTCCCCCTCCCCCAGGCCTAAGCAGTCAGTCAGACATCCTTAGCCTTGCTGTGGAGGCAGGAGAGGCTCCCGCCACCACCACTGCACTTACTAGCTGTGAGCCTGGCTTCTGGCTGAGCAGCACTCCCCTGTGGGAGCACACTGACCATCAGGGGGCAGCTCCTGAATTGAGCATATGCCCCTGGTGGTCAGTGCGCATCACAGTGACCGGTAGTTTCACTGTTTTGTTGATTTGCATATTAGCCTTTTATTATATAGGTAAACATTTTCCTAATCTATTGGTTTTAAAGTTTGAATTCCCTATAGTAGTTTTTTTTTTAAGTTTGCTATATTTATATGTAACACATAAGCCAAGCATGCATCTCCTAAATGCCTGCCCCCTACAACTTGAGTGAATCCCTATAGATATTAGAATCCTGTCTCTATCCTCTCAAGATAATGAACTCTGTTCACTAAAATGCCAGCAACTAAAATATAAAAAGTCTTGTATCCTAGTGGAGGCTCTAGTCTAAAGCCTGCTATCTGGATCTCCATCTATTCTCATTTTTCAGAATTAGAAACCCAAGTTTAATCTCAGTGTTTGGTAAATTTAACTAATAAAAGGGATTTGCTTGCATGTTGTATGAACCATGTATAATATTTTCAACTATGACTAATTGACAATGATGCATTTTTTTTATTTCCAAAAGTAGTTCAGTTTGCTTTTTTTCTGTTACACACACACACACACACTCCTTGTGCCAGTGTCCTGATACAATATTTCTCAATTTTTTGTTAAAGCATGATAAATTATTTGATCAGAAGCACAAAATTGTTAAAGCTGTCATATGAGCAAGAAGATTATTAGGGTTACTAAAACTCACTATTTTAGCAATTATATCTTATTCTGAACTCAGCAAAATAAACACCTCTTGAGCAGGCACTCAAAAATGTTTTCAGTGGGAGGGACATTTTTGGAAAGGTTTGGAAGTTGCTTGCAGATAGAGGCATACAAAAGACTGAGAAATGGAAATAGAAGATGTTTTATTAGAACATACTTATGAAGTATGAAAACAGGTTTCTATGATAGCTATTTTCTTTATGAGACTTGGTGTAGAATATATGTTAGGACACCAACTTGAGTCTTTGGTAAGTATAGAAGGACTTCTAGTTTAAGATATTGGAAGGGTTTTGAAACTTGTGACCCTATAGGAGAAATGTCCAGATTGAAAAATTCAGGGAGTCTTTGAGCTAGGTTTAGTTTACAGAAGGGTCAAATGGAAGTGGTTGATTTAAGTTACTTTAGGACAAATAGTGAATTCTTTTCTTTTCCCAAAGACCACCAACTTTCTTAACCAGAAGACAGTTTTGTGCCACAGTTTCTTGGGGAAATTGCCTCTTTAGCTGTGACCATTAATGCACTCTGCCATATATCTTGTTTCTAATTGTTTAGATTGACTTAGAAGAGCAATTGTTGGATTATAGACATGTTGCATTAAATACTATTAGAGGCTTCATTATTCTAGTTAAAACTAATTGGTTTAGCTAGAAAGGATTATTTAATAGATTTGGTTAAGATTGATATCACTCTTTAGGAAGGCTTTCCAGACTAATATCTTGATTTCCCCTCAGATGGGGATTACTTTTGGAAAGAGAGTATGTCTTATTATATGCTAATTTGAAAGATTCTAATTGTTGAGATGTCAGATGTTACTTATTTATCCTGTTAGATTTCAGCACCCCCTGTTTCATAGAAGCTTGTCATTTAACCCAGCTATGGACTGGCATGAGGGAGAATGGTATAGCTATTTGAAATATTCTGAGTCTTCAAGTGCTCAGGCATGTAAAACACATTAACACATGAAATGATTTTAAATACATTTAACTTGTTGTCCACCATCTTCCAAAAGTCCTCCTCTGAAAATCTAGGAATTCCCTATGATTCACATTTGATCAATAATTATTGAACAACAGTTAATGAGTTGAACACTGTACCCTAAATATATAATTTAGTTTCTACAGCAGGATTAACTTCTATTTATTTTTAAACCACTTAAACTTAAAGTCAGAGAGATTAAGTACTCTGTTCATACTCTAACCACTAATAGCAAAACCAAAATACCAAACCAGATCTAGAACATGCTCAACTTTACCCCACCTCCATGAGAGGAGACAGTGACTCATTTCCTGAAAGAAATCACATAAAAGACTGAAATAAATTTCCTTCAAGAATACCATTCCTTTTTTTTTTAAGTTACAATTATTACTTTTAAAAGTCTCTATGGTTGTGGGGAAACCCTTATCTAAGTCTTCATTATGTATATTACTTTATTTTCAAATTAGAGCTATAGGAGAGATATTAATAACTGGCAATGCCAATAAGAGTATGCAACATATCCAAGTGTTTGGGATCAAATGGACTTTTTATGGCTTCTAATTTCGCTTGTACACTTTCCATGAGTAATTTTCTCAACTCTGCAAAGAGTCTATTGTATCAGCTCAATTTTTACAAAAACATGATAAATCTTTTCATCAGAAGCATAAGATTGTCAGAGCTGTCACATCAACTAGAGACTATTAGAGTTGCTGAAACCACCATGTTAGCAATAGTCTTATTCTAATCTAAGAAAAATGGTTTACATTTAAATACTAAGTTATATCATGTGAAATTGCTGCTATTTAACCATTTTTGATGCATAAAAAGGGAATTTCACATGGTCCAAACTAATATGAATTCTTAGATGTAAGAAAATGCACTGAAAACTGCAACAAGTTGGGCAACTTGATGTAATTTTCAGGGCTCACTGGAAGACATAAGTTTAGCATAAGAATTTGGAATGTTTTAGTATATCATTGAATCTTATTATAGCACATACAAGGCTAAACACAGATAGTGAAAATAAGATATTTTCCACATCTGGTTCAGTGATTTCACATTGAATTGATGAATGATGTTGCTCTAAGTTTTAATTGATGCACTCAGGCTAAGAGAAAACTTATAAAGGGGAAACAAGAAGGAAGTCCACAAAAAAGATCAAAGTATAATTGTCCCACTGTGAATAAGTTCCATTTTTTATGAGCAGTTTGCAAAATTCTGTTATCTTTATGATGTACTCCTGTGGATGGACCTCAAATACTTTGGGTAAGGGGAAAGAGCCCTCTTTGAGGGACTATCATGTTGTTTCTAAAAATGACTAGATTCCGGCATGCTTATGCTTAGAAACGAACTGACAAGTCAAAACATGAGTTTCGGAACCACATTGTGGCTTGTATCTTTGGAGATGCCCACTCAACGCTAATGGGACTTCAAAATTTTGTAATGCCCTTGAGAGCTAGCAACTATCCCCGGCAGGAGCTGAAGGACATTGTGTTCATTGGGTCTCTGGAATACCTGCAGAGAGAATGGCGATTTCTCCGGAATTTTCCCCAGATATACATTCTGCCTGTAAGTATTATATAAGGGATAGTAAATATTTAAAATGATAATAAAAAGTACTACTACTTCTACAGCTACTACTGCTGCTAGCTTGCAGTCATATAGTGGTACCAGAAGCTGAACTATGCATTTTACATATATTAACTAATTTAACCCTCAAAATACCTCGCTGAAATAGATTTTTAAAGATGTTGAATTTTAGGCATGGAGAAAGTAAGTAACCTGTCCCAGTTGTGAGACTATGATTTAAATTCAGACATTATGTTCAGGAGCCACCATGCTTAATGTTTATGACCATGTTTTATAGTCTTAATATAAATCAGACTGCATTTTTTAGCCTGATTCTGACTTAATGTCTAATGCCAAGATGATAGGGGTCAGTCTTAATGCTCTAACTTTCTCATCCTTTCTGGAGACATATCTTTCCTAGAACATGCAATGCCACATGGTCCCTGATAGATATATGAAAAGGAGGAATTAGGTTTACATTTCTGAGAAATGGGTAAGTTATGTATGTGGTATTATGGTTGTAATTGTATTTATCCTGAACACTCATAAATCTGTATCCTATTATATGCAACCATTTCTCTGGATTAAAAGAAAACACATTATGTGTCTCATGAAACTGCATCAAAGCATTTGATTTTTATGCAAGAATTCTGATGGTGTTTAAGGAATATTTTTTCAAACTTCAAGAATTATTTTCCCAAGAATTTCATTTGTGTGTGTGTGTGTGTGTGTGTGTGTGTGTGTGTGTGTGTGTGTTTAAGTTACCATGTTTCTCTTCACCACACCCTTAGATTAGTTCAAAGAAAGGAAAAAAAAAGATAATGATCAAAATTCTTCCAATTCAACTAATATTAGAAATTACTTATAGTTGAGTCCAAGGTACCTGAAGGTGGGGCTAGATCTATCCCTATTTTTCCACCAAAGAAAAGAAGCAACCACCACTTTGCTAGTTAATCTGGAACCAACAAGTGGGTTCAGCTACAAGTAAAATTGTGAGGATAGAAAGTTTGCCTTTAGATCTATAACTTCTCCTTTTTCTGATTTTTTTTTCTCACTACTATTTTCCTTCCTCATTTATCTTCTCCCAACTGAGTCATTTAAATGGATTTAGGCTCCCCATTCTCTTCCCTCCTTTGTCTCATCCTGACTTGCTCTCAGGAGAAGGTCTGTAAAATGTAGTCACACTAAGATATTAATAATTGGTAAGGCTAACTGTGTCAGATACCAGGTAACAAAGTCTTAAAACCAAGTCATTTGGAAGCTGGAGAGTTGTTTGTTCAAAATTATCACCCACAACTGTGAGCCATGATATAAAATTTGTCCACCTGAGAAATTCTTCCTCTGCCCCGTTTCTCTCATTAGGGCTCTGCACTCTATACTGCAGACCTCCATGCAGTCAACATAGAAGAATGTTCCATGTGTGCTGTCTTGTCCTCCTCATCCATGTCACCTTCCCAGACTTCAGTAGACGCACAGATCATCATGGCCACCCTCAACATAGGATCACTGCGGATAAGCTACTCTGACCCGACACCCATAGATACAGGTAAGAACAACATCCTGACAAGAAAAGGCTAGGGAGAATGGAATAAAAAAAGAGAATCAACCTCTTTCTGAAGGACTTTGATCATGGGGAGGAGAAGTGGACAGTTTAGTCCTTGAGAATCCTAAGTCAACTGAAAAATGATACCCTTCTTCTACATGGAATGCATGTAGTACTTTTCCCATTTTAAGTAAGATCACAGAATTGCAAGTATTAGCATAGTTACTAATCAAATATCAGGGAAGATAGAACTTGGCCTATTATTATAATGAATAGCAAGAAATATTATTAATAATGGAATTCTCATCAGATTTTGTAGATGTTCAAGTTATTATTTTTTTGTTTCACGGTGGAGAGAATGAAGAATGATTCTTTCATTCTTCAAGATGCTTTCAATACATGCATTTTAGAATATTATCTTTAAGGTGAGGTCTCTTCTAACTTCTGTAGTATAAAAATGCCACAATCCTACTTCAAAATGGAATGAGATGGTGAGAAGTGAAGATCTCTCCAGGATGGAGATTAGGTCTTTCCTTCCTTTGTGTTCCACTCAGTGCCTAGCACACTTGTGGTCACTTAGGAGATGCTTACCACATTTATTGAATTGAAGCAAATGAGCCAGAGAACTGAACTCTTGGGTAGTTTCCACACATTTCCTGTGCTTAAAATTTGCTTGACATTAGTTCCCAATACAAAATTGTGGTCTTCCTCCCTGCCTGCACCCGCCTCCCTTGAAAAATTGACTACTGGACACTGAACCTAATATGAATGTCCTCTTACTGAATAATTTTCAGTATCTAAAGCAGATTTTCAATTCAAGTAAATAAAATAAATGCTGGATCCAGCATTTCCCTTAGGGGTGTTGATCCTCTGTGTCAAGGTTGGATACTTAGTCCTCTGGACTCACAGCTGCCAACTACAACTCTTCCACTTTTCATGGAGCTTGGAGAGATCAGACATCTAAAGCATTGTGAGGCTTTCATTACTATGGATGAAGATAAAAATCTTCATGAGTCAAACTGGGAAACCAAAAGAACTCTGTCTGACTTCTAGACACTGTTGCTAGGTGGGAAAATACAACATACTTAGGACAAAGGAATAAACAAGTAATCTAGTCTAATTTTCTGTAGGTGAACTAAGTAAGCTATGTGACACACCTTCACTAAGCAACCAAACTCCACTCAGCTCTCAGGGTTTGGGTTCTTTCGCAAAGGAGAGCTAAAAGCAAAGCACTTCATGATGTCAATGTACACTGAAAATTAAGACTAAGGAAGTGTAGGCCATACCTCTGCTGAGCAAATCTGAAGATCCATAAAATGCTGCTGTTTGCTGCACATAAATCCTTAGCTCAGCCATTAGGGTCACTTAGATTTACCCAATATTTGTGTGTGGTATGGGATGAGTGTGGTGTGGGGAGGGCTATGGAGGGTGAATGTATAGGGAGTGTGATTATATGCAGGTGTGGGTGACTATATGCGTCATCTTGCAACTTTCTATAATTGGGCAGAGAAGTGTTCGTCTTAAGGGCAGTGTCATCAATACACAAATCAAACTGCCCACTCCATGAAAGCATGAGATAAACTGAACATATAAACCACCTAATTAATCATCTGGATGACTTTTCCTTTCTATTATTATTACTTTTTAATTTTACATCTTATATAAGCTAGAAAGATATAACACTATACTTTCAAGTCCGATTTCCTTTTTATCCAGTGATTTTCATCATCTCACTCATCCAACAAAAATATATTGATTCTGTATGATGTGCCCAACCTGTTATAGTCTAGAACACATGTGTCAAACACAAGGCCCGCGGGCCAAATCCGTCCCGCCAGGCCTTGCAATGTGGCCCGCACCGCGCTGTCATCACTGCACTTCGCTGCGTTTCCATCACAATGACAGTTTATGACTGTTCAGTAAACCATTCGGCCCACGATTTAGGCTGGACTTTAGATTTTGGCCCCTTCTCTGATTGAGTTCGACACCCCTAGTCTAGAAGGTTGCCCTCGAAGCAGCAACTTGCTGGATTGGTAGAAGGAAGTAGAGGAGAGGGAAAAGGGACTGGAAAGGAGGAAGAGAAAATAAAGGCACATCAAAGTACAAGGGTGGCAATAGCAGATTTACAGTTGTGAGTATCCAGAATACAGTTTGTTCTTGTGTTATTATTTATTTATTATTGTATTACTTAGTTGTATAACAAGTGTAAACCTATATTTGCCTACCCCTTACTTGTGCCATCAAGAAGCAGGAATAGATTCTTCCTCAAAGATAAAAGGGAATGTTTAGAGAAAAATTATTTTGTAGGCCTAGCACCATTTCTTTAATGGGTATCATACTCACTTGTATGATGGCGAAATATAACTGCAGGCAGCTCTACTAGGCTACCTAACAGAAGTCATCTAATCTGCTTATCTGGTGCTATATCATCAGTCAAGTCACATTCTGAGCAAAGGACCATTACTCAGAAACCTCACCAATTACTCTAGAATTATAGGTATCTACACTATGTTTATAAATAGGCTTCCCCAGTCCGCAGCGAAGCCTGATAATATCTGCTTGCACCATAAGGGGTAGAAATGGGAACACACACCTCTCCGAGAGTTGATAGTATAAAGGATTGTGAAATTCCACAAGGAGGCGGAAAACATCCCCCAAACTGAACATCAACATGAGATAAGTTTCCTTAGGACTGTGGTTCTCAACAAGGGTAGTTTTGGCCCCCAGGAGTCACCTGACAATGTCTGTAGACAGTTTTGTCACAACTTGGGGGAATGCTATTGGCATCTAGTGGGTTGAGGTCAGAGATGCTGCTGAACATCCTACAATGCACATGACAATCCTACAGGACAAATACCTTTTTGGCTCAAAATCTCTATAGTACTGACATCAGAAATCTCTCTCACCCTAGCATATTTGATGAGACTTTTCTGGGATCAGTGGTCCTTTCTCCATCTTCACAATCATAATAAACATGAAGCCCACTTAGGACCACAGTGCTATTCCATACAGTGATTCTCCCAGGGACATTGAGGGTGTGGGGACAGCAGAGGGCAGAATCTCAGAAGGATTAGTAAGAATACCGGGCTTCCTGGCCATCTCCATGGAAAACTGTAGGTTTTTCCAGCGATGCTCTAATTGCTGCCCTGTCACATCACAAGAAGAACAGGTTGGCAAACCTAGGTACTGAACTAAATAATCTGTGGCATAATCTAAACATATAACGGTAATTAAGTCTGACAACTTAATATGCTACTGAAATTTAAATGTACTGTGGTAATCTACAATTAAGCACTCTTTTGTAATAGTAGCCTGCCAGCCAAGAAGATTTCAGGTATAATGCTGTGTGTATTGTGAGCTCCTGGAAATATTGACATTGGTAAAATGCACCCAGGCTATGATCTGACACAAATTCCACTTAACCATCGCTCCACAAGAGGAGATGGAGCTAGGTGGTTGCTATCCTTCAGATGGTGTCAGAAGCAGACACTCAAGCAGCCACTCCAGCTAACCCAACGTGAACATGTCTGCATCCGATAAGGACATTTAACTTCGAAAGTTGAGATGATCCAAACCCTTTTCTAGAGGGAACTGGAATCAGAAAGTGGGGTTCAAAGAAGGACTGCCTCTTGGAAGGGAAACTGGCCTTAATATTTTACTGGACATGTCAGCCAAACCTTGAACATTTTATCAGGGCTACAAAGTGGCTCTTAAAAGGGCCTGACTTTGAAGTTGGTGCCGATTGGGGTATGAAAACCCTTCCATCATTTACAGGCCATTTAACCTTGGGCAAGCTTTGTAAAACCTAAGTCGGTTTCTTCTAATGTTATCTAACTATATTGATTCACAGATTTGTTGTGAGCCTGGTATAATTCTTATCTCCTTACAGCTTGTACTGCTCACAGCAGCTGGAGGGACCTTTTACAAATATTTATCAGATCATGTCAGTTCCCTGCTTAAAACCCTATCATGATAACCCATGGCAATTATAGGAAAATAGGGCCTTGCAGGCCCAAAGGGAGTTTGAATTTTCTCCCACTTCATTCTGTCTGTACTGGCTCTTTCCTGCCTTAGGTCCTTCTTCCCATTCCCTCTGCATGGATGGCTTTTTCTCACCTCTCGGGACTTCATTCCAAGTCAAATAAGCCTCCCTTCAAACCCTATCTAAATCATCTCCACAACTCAATCACTAGCCCTTAAAGGTTGTGTGTGTATTTTTTCCACAGTATGTATCACTACTTGAAAATACATATTTTGTATTTGCAACATGTGGCATGTAATTGGGGCAGGGATTACACAGTCCTAGCTTGCAATAGATACTCTTAAAATTTGTAGAAGGAAGAATGGAAAGAAGGAAGGAAAGGGACACCCAGCAGATAAAGCATCTGCACAGTTCTGAGAATAAGGCAGAATCTCAATTCCCCAAGGACTTCCTGTAGCATGAAAATCCCAGAGGTGTTTTGTTTGTTTGTTTGTTGATTTTTTTTAAAGAACAACAGTTTACCGTGTTCAAATTCATCACAACTAAGATTCACTGGTGAATTAGGACAGCTGAGCTCTAGCTATTGATGTTAACCTTGCTTTTTTTTGAGATTTATAACATAAGTTTCAGGTGCATAACATAATTTGATATCCATGCTCACCACCAAAAGTCTGTTTCTGTTTCTCACTATACATTTTACCCATTTCACACTTCCCCTTCTGGTGACCACCAATCTGTTGTATGTATCTGAGAGTTTGTTTTGGTTTTATTTGTTCATTTGTTTCTCTGTTGTTGTTGTTTTGGGATTTTCTGTTTTAGATTCTATATATGAGTAGAATCGTATAATTTGTGCCTTTTTTCTCCTGACTTACTTTACTTGGAAAAATATACTCAGGTCCAACCTTCTTCTGAAACAGCTGTGTGAACCATGTTAGCCTCGGGGCTGTCATTTCCTCGCCTGCATTGCTAAGGTCACTGCCAGTGCTGACTGTATCCAAGTGTGCCGGGCGCTTCCTGTGCAGCTTCAGTTTTTACCCCAAATCCCCCTTGAAGCATGACTCGGAATTTCAGTGGATTTTAGAAACATAATCACCTCTACTCTCCATTCACAAGAAGTGGCCATTTACTGAGTATTTCCGGGGGGAGATGGAACAGGCTGTAAATACTGCAGAACAAGCATTTTTTGTTGTTGTTTTTTTTTTCCTGACAGAAATCTCCCCTTGGGTTTTCTCTTTTCCCCTGTCCCATCACCCTCCTTTTATCTGTCCCTCAGGCTGTCTTACCTAACCCGCTCACTTCATTTCACATCTCGCTCCCGTCGCCTATCACTTATCTGGCTCAGTAAACAGAGGACCTCAAAATATTTCACCTTCTTCCTAGAGCAGGGGATTTTAATTAAAAGCGGAGTTTTAACTTTCACAGTATTTTTGAATTCTCAGAAAAGCTACAAAAGGTAGCCAACAGTTTTAAAACGTAACTTTTTAAAAAATATATATTTTATTGATTTTGTACAGAGAAGAAGGGAGATAGAGAGCTAGAAACATCGATGAGAGAGAGTCATCGATCAGCTGCTTCTTGCACACCTCCTACTGGGGATATACCCACAACCAAGGTACATGCCCTTGACCAGAATCGAACCCGGGACCCTTCAGTCCCCAAGCCAATGCTCTATCCATTGAGCCAAACCGGTCTTGGCTTAAAACGTAACTTTCGATGAGATTGTGTGTGTTTTAACTGGTCCCCATTTCCTTTCTCTTTCTTCCTTTCTTTCTTTCTTTCTTTTTATTTATTTTTTATTTTTTTGTTAACTTGGGGACCAAAACTCTAGTTATTGAAACTCTTCACAGTCCACTGCCTGATAAGGCTGTTTGGGGCCAGTGCTGGGCTTGGCTCTTTCAGAGGAAAATGAAGGGCCTCACCTCCTGATGCAGGAGGGAAATCTGTCTGTAAACTGAATGCAAAGGGCAGAGGTGACAAATGGCAACTCACCCCAGTCTTTAAGGAACTTGCAAGGCATTCTAGGCTGCAACCAGAGATGGGAAGCAGCAGGTTCTGCTGAAGAAGAAAGATAATGTCTGGACCCAGAGAAGTGTCTGGACCCAGAGAAGCTCTCAAAGAGGCAGATGGCAGCAGCAGCCAGAAACCACTTGCGGTGTTAGCAAGTGCATACACAGAGCAGCACTGCCTGCTTATCCAGTTTCCTAGAAGCCCTACAAGCAAATGGATGTGGTTAAAGGTACAGCCTGTCTGAGCCATTGCCCACACTGTGGAGAACACTCATGTTTTACTTATGTTATCAATAAGCAAGTACTGGGAAAGCTTTACACGTGCACGCGCACACACACACACACACACACACACACACACACACACACACACACAGTGTCCAAAAACTAGATGCCACGGATGCCCAAATATTTTGTTTTTCTAAATATAGAAAAGGGTTTGGGATTTGGGCCTCAGTGACCTTTGCAAAGCATAAAGTTGCAGAGTATGTTTCTCCATCCTTGTCGCATTTTGCAAGCCTCTTTGTTTACATTTATCAATCTCTTTTATTTTCTGTTGTCATCTGTGTCTACAGACCAATTTTCGCAGAGCTTCTGTGATATTAGAAAGAGACACTGCCGAAGAATCCCCATCCTCACTGAATTGAGTAAGTCCTGTTTCAAGAAAAATACAAGGGAGAAATCTGTATGATCCTGAATTGATGTTCCAAGGTTCTTTTGAAAATCCACAGTCCAAAAACAGAAGCAGAATGGGCCCAAGAGCAGTAAGTGCTTGATGGGACATTATACTGACCCTTTTTTTTTTCTGGATTGGTGACATCATCCGCAGAGCCTGCTGCATCTGGCTGTTAGGGTGCAGAAATACCATCTGCATGTATAAATACCACTTCCAGTTCCCAGGAGTGGGAGACCAGCAGCTGGTTCACTCTTATTCATGTGAAATATCCCAAGGGAGGGACATGAACTTGAAGATTGCCCAAAATTATCTTTCTATACCAGCCTATCTACCCATCTAGGACTTTAAGTCTGGCACCTTCCTTTATTATAGTGATACCAGGACCAGCACTAGGAGGCACCAAGGTGCAGACTTAAAGGTTTCACTCTCTCTCAGGGTCCTTCAATTTTGTGTTCCTGTGTTATCTTAATTCTAGTCCTGAATGATAGTCTTCTAAAAAGATAATACTAGGTACAGAAATATCAGAATAAGCTGTTGTCTCTCTCACCAACAACTTATAGAAAATGCACATTAGGAAATGTTTGTGGATATGAAGCAGAAAGCCTTGGGGCAGAAAGCAGGCTAGGGAAGGTGCCTGTGTACTTTGGGGTGGGAGGGGTTGGGAGGCACTAGGGGGTTAATACTGTAATAACTGATGAGATAAGGGTAAGATACCAAAGAGGGGAACAGTGCCTTTCACTTTGGACAAACTCAAAGACAATCCATTAGCTGGTCCTGGGCATGCAATTTGACTGGATTCTATAGTAGAGCAACATTTTTAATGGGCATTTTATGACTTTGAGTAAGCTGAGTGAGAAACCAAACTAGATAAACAAACCTCTTGGTCCCAGAAAGGGAGCAGGGGGACAAGAGAGGAATCATAGATGACACTACCATGTGATCTGAGAGTGATAGTACAGCAGATAGTACAGCAGAAGTGATAGTACAGCAGATAGTACAGCAAATAGTCTATTCATAGTGAATCCTGCAGCAGCAGCTCTTCAAGTTCAGTTCTGAGGATCTCAGCTCTCTCACTTTTAAAAAAATACATTTTTAATTGATTTTAGAGAGAGGAAGGAAGAAGGAGAGATAGAAATATTGATGTATCAACATTCATTGCTTGCCTCCTGCATGCCATCTGCTGGGGGTTGATCCTACAACCCAGATATTATGTGCCTGACTAGGAATCAAACCAGGGAACACTTGGTCATGGGACTATGCTCAACCACTGAGCCACACCAGCCAAGCAGTATTTCAGCTCTCTTGAGCCTGACTGGTACCAGCCAGCCTATTTGTAACTACATTTAAGCTCTTAGCTCCAGGTTGTTTATTTTAATTTTATAACTTATTTTTTAAATTCTCACTTGAGGATATCTTTCCATTGACTTTGAAAGAATGAAAGGCAGGGTCAGAGAAACATTAACATGAAAGAGATACATCAATTGGTTGCCTCCTGCATAGGCCCAACCAGAGCAGGAAATCCAGTCTGAAATTGAGGTATGTGCCCTTGACCAAAATCTAATCCCAGACCCTTCAGTCTACAGGTGACATTCTACCCACTAAGCCAAACCAGCTAGGCCTTAATTTTATTTTTCTACCCTTTTGAACCATCCCTAACCCTAAGGTGCAGCCACACTAAGGACACTGATTAGAAGACTATAAGGTAAATTAGAGTGGCCGGGAGGGAACCAGACAGGTGCTCACTGGCCCAGAAGTACATCTGGTCACTCTCGAGGGACTTACAGCTTTGTTCAACTGAAGACTTTCTGGCACCAGACGGCCCTTGTCAGATTAGCCTAACAAATCACCTACCAGCTCACTGTTTTCTGTTCTTTGGCTGTCTGGAGAGGGTCACAGTGACATGGGAGCCACAGATCCAACTGCCAGTACTTTGATACAGAGTGTACAGTGGCCTGCAGGAAAATGCCTGGGAAAGCTGAGGCCCTTGGTTTAGCATGACACAGCAGGATTTGGACAAGGGCTCCTGGGATACGTGGGGGAGTGTGTGTGTGTGTGTGTGTGTGTGTGTGTGTGTGTGTGTGTGTTTTGAAGATTGGCCATGCAAGAAGAGGAAATTGTGTGTGCTTAGGAATTGTGGATTGGTACTAGTTAGACTTGCTCTTTTATAAAACTATATAGTTCTTCAAATAAAATTATTCACTAATATTAGTAGTATATCATTTCTCCCAAACTTACTAAGAAATAATTTAAAGAATTAGGGAATAATCCAGTCTCAGGTGGTAATGTATTTTGAGTGGTATGCCCAGTAGATTTCTGTTGATCTGTTTATGACTGACGAGAGCTGGGAAAGACCTAAGAGTTTAAGCTACTTGCAAACTGACAGGTTAGCCTGCCAGTTTCATGGATGCTGGCAGAAGACACAGAACCACTGGCCCAGAGATACAAAATAGTTACTCAGAATGTGAGCAGTAGCCAGAGTATCAACAATTTTGTGCTGGTTATTCAAGCCTTTGTTCCCACCAGGTGACATGAAAAGGGCCAAGTGATACCTGTACCCAACTTTATAAGAGATGAACTGAAATCTTTCATAATGGACAGTGAGCATGCTTTCTCTTTACTCTGGTGGGAGAATCATTTCCACCTTTCAATGTTATTCTCAGCACAAACATCTTTAAAGCAGTAGCCTTAGAACAAAGGCCTTCGGTGCCTCTGCAGGCACTCCAGCAAGGACCCGTTCTATCATATTACTTCAGAAGCTGATCACTGGGTCTGAGTCGCAGCCCTGGGCCAGTACAGATATGCTAATGGGTAACAAGGGTACTGCTGCACTGGCCTCAGTTAGGATAATTTTCTGAGCACTTGCTATTCAAAGTGTAATCCACGTATCAGCAGTAATTGCAGTAGCATTTGGAAGCTTGTTGGACATGTAGACTCTCAAGCCCCATCCTAGAACCACTAAATCAGAATCTGTATTGTAATAAGAATTCCAGGTGATTAATATGTGCATTCAGTTTTGACAGATACTGCTTTAACTCATTCTGGACCCAGATAATATAGGAACCCAAGTACCAGGTGTACTGGTTAATAATGCGATTTTTTTCCAATAGATAGAGTTACACATATGTTGATATATATGTGATTGGATATGCATGTTATTTTGTTGTATTTTCAGCAAGCTTCTAAACTTCATATGTCAAATTTTCTGAAGGTGTTAACATCATATATATTTTTACACTTAAAAATGTCAAATTTTGGGCCAAAGAAAGAGCATTTGTGGAAAATTTTAATTCATTTTTTGAAGAAAAGTGCTGCTAAAAGTTATCATATACTTTGGGAAGCTTACAGTGAACATGTCCCAGCTCAATATATTTGTGAACGCTGGTTTAAATGCTTTAAAAGTGATAATTTCAATGTGAAAGACAAAGAACATCCAGGTCAATCGAAAAGGTTTGAAGACCAACAATTATAAGCATTATTGGATGAAGATGTGTGTCAAACTCAAAAAGAACTTGCACAAAGATTAAACGTTCCTCAGTAAACAATTTCTGATCATTTACAAGCAATGGGAAAGATTTTAAAGGAAGGAAAATGGGTGCCACATCAACTGAATGAAAGACAAATGGAAAATTGAAAAATCATCAGTAAAATGTAGTTTCAATGGCAGGAAAGAAAGTCTTTTTTTGTTTGTTTGTTGTTTTTTTTTTTACATCAAATTGTGACTGGCTATGAAAAGTGGATTTATTTTGAGAATCCCAAAGGCACAAAATCATGGATTGATCCAGGTCAACCATCAACATTGACTGCTAGACCAAATAAGAAAATACTTTGTGTTTTGGTGGGATCAGGAAGGTGTGATATATCATGAGCTTCTAAACCCAAGTGAAACTGTTAATACTGATTGCTACCAACAACAAATAATCAATTTGAACCACGCTTTGATCGTAAAATGACCAGAATGGGCCAGAAGTCACAAAAAAGTAGTTTTGCTTTATGATAACCATCACATACTTCAAAACAAGCTGAAGACACATTAAAAGATCTTGCCTGGGAAGTACTAACCCACCCACTGTATTCACCAGACCTTGCTCCTTTAGATTACCACTTATTCTGATTGATGGAACACACACTTTCGCAGCAGCACTTCAAAATGTATGAAGAAGTGAAAAATTGGTTCTCTGAATGGTTTGCCTCAAAACAAGAGAAATTCTATTGGAACAGTATCCACAAATTACCTGAAAGATAGTGGAAATGTGTAGCTTGCGATGGACATTACTTTGAATAAAGCACTTTTGATGTTTCTCTTGAAATTATTGTGTTTTCTTTGATTACAAAATTCGCATTATTAACCAGTGCAACTGGTAAACACCAAGCCACCTGCAGCTTAGAATTATGACAAGGACTATAACTCCGAGTTATGCATAGTGAGACTGCCCCTTTTACTTCCAAAGTGTCCTGGTTTGATAGATAAATTATATGAGGATGACAGTCTGGATGTTTCCATGGAGAAAATGAGCCTGAGGTACAAGGGTATCCCCTTGATGATGAAGGTGCCCAAGAGGGATTTATATATTTAAGGGATGAAGAAGATATTTGGAAAGAAAACATGTCTTGAAGTAGGGGCAGATCCCACATTGATGCCAAAGCAGCCATCAGACCCTTTCATCAAGGGGTCACAACATGATCTGCATATATTCTTAAGGCAATTCCTATATTCTTAAACTTGTCTGTCTGCCTTTCTCTATTTGCCTCTTTTGCTTTGCAGAAAATCCTTCCAACATCCACTTTATTGAACAGCTTGGTGGAATGGAAGGGCACCTCCCAGGAACAAGCCTGCATCTCAGCACCTCCTTTTCCACTGGCTTGGTCTTTTCTGGCTCCTTCTTGGATTCCCTCCTGGCCACAGTAAGTGCAGCTAAGCTGAAGAGCCCCCAAGACCAAATCCCTGGCAGAGGAGAGAGAGGGTCCTTTAGGGCCTGGGTAGATAATGAAAATGCCTCACAATTCTAAAGTCTCTTTGATTTTTCAAAAATGCTTGTTCACATACAGTATTTGATCTTTTCTCACAACTACCTGGCAAGGACAGCAAAATCTTTACATTTTCAAGATTAAAAACATAAGAGTGGGAACACTTGATACCAGGGGGAATTGAGCGGGTCTGCAGTGCATCTGCTTTGCAGCTTCCAGTGCCTTGTCCCTTTGGTATCAGAGCTTAAGAGGTGCTATCTTCTCTTTTCTTTAAAATATCCCCACAAGCTGATGTGGAAGCCATCCATAAAGGGGTTTAGAGTTCAAGGCAAAGCTTTGGCCTTTGGTGGTGTGAGTTTTGTTCAGAGCTAAGTCAAATCTCCCTCTCCACTGCCCTTCCCTTGGAGTGGACTTTGGATTACACAGTTGTTCTTCAGCTCTCAGCACCTCTTTAGCCACCAAGCAGACATCTATTCCAGGATTTCCAACGAATCCTTTGTGCAAATACAGATTGAACAGTTACTCTGTACAGGGCACTGCTCTAGGTTCTGGGGACCAGCAGTGATTAAAGAGACTAGAGTTTCTTCCCAATATGGAGCTCATGAATCCTTGATAATGTATGGCTCAGCAAGATAAACACACAATACTCTTTAGAGATCCAGCCCCATGTCTCTGGCTATGATAAGCTGAATTAGACCTTTGAAAATATTCATAAAACCCTGTCCATACTTGTCTTCCTTCTGGACCTGATACTTCTGGCTCAAGTTGGCCTTCTAAGAGTGGAGGCGACTTCCTGTCATCAAGCCACATAGAAAGAAAGAGCACAAAAGTTAGGCCTGTGCCTACAGTTCCATTGTGTCTGCTCTTCTGAGGACCTTTTGATCTTGGTCAGCCTCCTGATTTACACCTGCTCCGTAGCCTCAAAGAGGAACAGAAAATGTATGCTCTTGTATTAGAAATATTTGGGGCCACTGTGGTAGCTCCAGAATATATTTTTCAACACTCCATTTTGTTCTTCATACATATCAGAGCATCACCTTGTGGAGAAGTGTGAGAGGAAGGCAAAGATCTGGATCTTCCCTTAAGTGAGGATAGCAGTTAAGGAACCAAAGTCTATCATTCCCTCTAGCACAGCAGTCACCAACTGGTGGTCTATGGACCACTGATGGTACATGAAGTCCAAAAGGTTGGCCACCACTGGTTTAAGGAAACCTTTGGAGCAGTGGTTGCCAACTGGTAGTCTGTGGACATTAGTGGTCCATGAGATCTTGAAAGGTTGGCGACAGCTGCTCTGGTACACTCCCAAGGCAGACACTGTTAATGATCATGGTTTTCTGCCTCAAGATCATATCTGCATCTTTCCCAACTCAGACTTCAAGGCAGCTTATTCTGCTCAGTTTTGTTGTTGAGATAATATTCATAGAGCAATATGTGTGACAGGAACAGTAATAACCACATCTCAAGCATTCACTTTGAGTCAAGGTCTTTGCTAAGTGCATTACATACCTACTTACCTAACTTAATTCTCCTATCAACCCAATTAAGACAATACAATTATGAGCCTCATTTTACAGATGAAGAATCTGAGCATCAGAGGGTTAATAATGTACCAAAGGTCAAAGCCCTCAGAGATGACAAGTTGGTTTTCAGACCCAAATTTGTAAGGATTACAGAGTAAGACCACAAATGACTGCCATTCCAGAAATCTCTCTTTTTGATGATGACTATTTTTCCACTACATTATATTGGTGTTTTGAGCAGAGGAGCCTGTCTCCCAGAGTGCTCTGGAGTTGCTGGGGAGACCTAGGGAAGATGAGACCAGGACAAGCCCACCCACACCTTCCCTCATCAGAACTATTCTACTTTCATCTGGGCCATATATGAGGCTCTTATGTAAATTTGATTTGGAGAAGGAGTTTTGCTATTAAGAAGACATTGAAAACGCTTCCCTAGAAGTTAGACCATATGACCAACAGAGAGACATAAAATAAATCAAACAGAATGCTGTTCTCCTCAACTCTGAGACAGGTTTAAAATTTCTAGTCAGGAGTTCTGTATGGGAGATAGGAATTGGCCATTCCACCACATTTTGCATATCCATTGTGTTCCATAATTCCCCCTCCCCAAAGAACATCTTTTGGGTTTAGCTCTTTTGGGGTTTGGCTCTTCCAACCTTCTGCCCAGCTTAGTGCACCAAGAAATGTGTGTCTGGTGCTATGTCATAAGAAAATATAATTAGAATAAAAATGTTTCCTTCTCTGATGCCCATACTGCCCATGAGGGCAAGGCTGAATCAGATGGATGCAGAACAGACTCTCCCAAGAAAAAGGCAGCTAACACCTCAGGAGTTTTTGAAACAAGATGAAATCACCATTCTTGATTTCCAACCTAATATCTAAGGGCCCTCTTCCTTCTCATGAATACTCAAAAGACATAACGGTGCCTCTCCTTCTTTTCCTCCAAATTGCCCTTAAGAAACACAAAGAAGATCGAACACACAAGCCCCAAGGACAGAGCAAAGCCTGAATAACATGGTGTGAACTTGTCACTGAAGTTTGTATTTAGATTTTCAAGAAGGTATTTCCTACTTTCCAGGGATATACCTGTGATTTTTCTTTTCAACCTAATGTAATGTGGTTTCCCTTCAAATCTCTTGACTCAGTTGACACTGTGGCTTCAGGTATCCCCTGGTATATACTATTGTACACTCCTTCTCCCATTGGAGAAACATTCCTGTGAGGTATGATTCAGATTCACTTTCAATTCTCTATTTTTTCAATGCTATCAGAATGAAAACATAGAGAGGCACTTAGCCCCAGAAGCAGGATTCCCATGTGGCTTTACAATAGAACTTCAGAACTAGACTCAAATTAGGGATCATTTCCTTTTATTTATAAGAAAGTGAGGCCCACAGAAGTGACATAACTTTATCCAGGTCACTTATCTTGTTATTTGCAGTTTTCCTACCATATAGCCTCATTCTAAATTAGAAGTATTTCTCAAAGAATGTTTGATTTTAAAGTCTTTTAAGATTCTCAGAATACAAAGCAGTTAAGATGTGAATACCTATGTGATTAATAGTCCAGGTTATGAAAGAGGACTCAAGCTTAATTTATAGTTAAAAGTTAAAACACTGCCGAAACCAGTTTGGCTTAGTGGATAGAGCATTGGCCTGCGGACTGAAAGGTCCCAGGTTCCATTCCGTTCAAGCCCATGTACCTTGGCTGCAGGCACATACCTTGGTTGTGGGCACATCCCCAGTACGGGGTGTGCAGGAGGCAGCTGATTGATGATTCCCTCTCATTGATGTTTCTAACTCTCTATCCCTGTCTCTTCCTAAAACACTTTGGGCTGCAACATTTCCTAACACTGGAAGTCCAAATTCTAGTCAATAGGATTATATTAGAAACACTGTTCAAGTTTAGAAATCCTAAAGTATTTCAAGCATTTTTCATTTTTTTTATATTTTCTTGAGAAATAATAAATGGGAGAAAGAGAGGGAAAAATTAAAAAAATATATAGAGAGACCAATAAGGCCAATATCGTAGGACCCCAAATGGTAAAAATACCAGAAGAGATCATAGAGTAAGGGTGACATGTAAATACCATTAGTTTCCCCAATATAGATTCCAATCCTTTTGATGTCAAAACTGGAGACATAATATATTCAAAAGCTAAGCCTCTCTCAGTTAAACATATCAAGTACATGTTTCCCTAGAGCCTGTGACTCCAGGATAACCCTGGAATTTACTCCTTTCTTTAATCAGTGGGGAATTACTCTAACAGTATTATTTGATCACCACACTATGGCCACTTGTTCTTAAACAGATTGTGGCTCAACCTTTACTTATATCCTCTGCTCCCCTCTGGATCTCGGGGAGCCAGCTTCACAAGCAGGCTTCTGGGTGGGAGCCAGAAGGAACAGAGGAGAAATGTGAGGAGGAGACCATCACCCCAGGATTGCTCTTAGTCTGGATGTTAGGGTGGAAGAGGCATTTAAAGTCATCTTTTAATTTCAAAAATACTACGAAAAGTGTTTTTTCATGTGTGTGTGTGTGTGTGTGTGTGTGTATTTGTTTTTTTTCCTGATGAGTTTATATAGGTTTTATTTCCTAAGTCACCTTGTCCCAATAGCCTCTACATTTTTACTAAGAGTACTTGTATATTTGTTAAATTTCAACTGCCAATTGCAGTCAATATTCTTACAGTTTTGGGAAAATATCCAGTTCAATGCACTCCTGAGGGTGTGTGTGAATGTTAAGAAGACACAGTCCATCCTCTCAAAGGGCACATAATTTAGGAAAGTGTTGCCCAGAATCTGAGGACAACCAGAGTCAGAACCACCAAATGTGCCCTTTAATTCTGATTCCCATGTCTGTCCATAAACTCTGACCCAGTAGAGCTTGGATCCCAGAAATTTGCACTCATGAATATCCCCCCAGGTGATACAAATACAGGAGAACCAATGTTGAAGACTACAGGATTTAGTAACCTGTGCTGTATATCTCACGTAATCCTGCAGACAGTGCTCAAAGGTAGGTATTATTATGTCAGCTTTAAGGATTATCAAACTGTTGCTGAGAAAGAACACATGAATTGTCTGAAAGTATTCAGTTAGAACGTGCCAGTGCAAGATTCAAACTCAGGTGTGTTTCAGACAAGCTACTAACATAAAATAAAGAAGAATGAAATAGAGTAAAAGCTAGTGGCCATAGGACCACAAAGAAAGGATCACTTTATTCTGATGAGAAGACCAGCTTGGAGTTTGCCAAGCTGATGAGAAGTGAACCAGCTGTTCCAAAGCAGAAGCATGATGGAGTCAATGTACGGCATGTTCAACTACAAATGGACAATTATCATGTCTGGAGCTCCTTCAGATGTTGGCCCTGGAGGGTTTGTGATGGAGGAGATGAGCTTGGTTTTGTAGCAGGGAACTGACTCTTAAGTTTAAAGGAGGCGAACTTGATCTGACTTATTTCAGAAAACATCTCTGGCTGGAAGCTTTTTGCACAATAGATTGCAAATGACAATAAAAACAACAAAAATCAATAAAGAGGTCTATATTATAACCCAGGCTTTAGGAAATAAGTTCCTGAGTTTGGGAGTAGAGAAAGTAAATAGTAAAATTTCTAGAATAATAATAATTGATGTAATTCCTAGAATTTATAATAAAAGCAAAATTATTGAATTTTATATAGGTAATATATAAACATATAAATCCTCATTTCTACTGGAGTAAAAGTCTGATAAAACAAAGGGTAGATAATTTAAAATATTATATATTCAATAGACTTGAGAAACCTAATGGGTAATATATTATATTGCTATTTGCATATATGTTAATGCCTGGTGTATACTGAATTAGTTAAAAATCCTTTGAAAAAGAAGTTTCAGAAAATGGCTAGAGTTTTTCAACCTCAAGGTACTTTCAGAATAAGATGTTGGCACACATATCTTCCTTTGGTTTCATTTTGATGTCAAAGATTTTAAAATTTCATTAATTTATTCAATAGTTACAATCTGCAAAGCTTCCATGGGAGCTGTGGGAGATCTAAATAGTGACACAAGACCTGTACTCAAGTAGATCACAATAAAAAAGAATATAAATAAATTCACAGCCAATGGATTCAAGTATGGATGACAATATCAGTAGTCCACTAAAGAAAATCTATAGAAGTCTTATTGACTATCCTATATAATTAAAGCTAAGTGTCTGGTCATCCATTTGGCCATTCAACCAATCAAACTGTAATATGCTAATGATATACTAAGGCCACTCAACTGCTTGCTATGACAAGCACTGACCACCAGGGGCCTGACAGTCAACCACCACCAGTCACTATATTGTGGACTGACCACCAGGAGCCAGACGCTCCAACTGGTAAGTTAGCTTACTGCTGGGGTCCGGCTGATCAGGACTGAGCAAGATGGGCCAGTCATGCCCAGGAGCCTTCCTGGGGACTTTCCTTGGCTGGCTAAACTCCCGCATCCCTCCCCAGTTCCAATCATGCACCAGTGGGGTCCCTTGGCCTGGCTTGCATCCTCTTGCAATCTGGGGGGATGTCTGAGAGCTGGTTTCACGAACATGCAAGTCCTGGGGGGAGGACGGGGCGCTCATGGTAGGCAAGTGCAGCGGTGGCAGTAGCCTCTCCTGCCCTGAGGCAGTGCTAAGGATATCTGATTGATGGCTTAGGGAATGGGGCTAAGCTGTCAGTTGGATATCCTCTAAGGGCTCCCGGACTGCAAGAGGGGGCAGGCCGGGCTGAGGGATCCCCCTCCCCCAGTGCACGAATTTTGTGTACCAGGCCTCTAGTTTTAAATATATGTAGACAATTAGTAGGGTATCTGTGGCCCGGAATACTCCTCTGTCATTTTTGGGACAGGGGATATACTTGGTGTCAGTATAATTACTCATTTCTTTCTTCATTATAGTATAACCCCCAAGAGAGCAGAATCTAGGTCAGTGTTATTTTATCTGCACTTTGTCTAACCCAGTACCCTATCCACACTGCCAGCTTTTAGTTAATTTTAATAATGATAATGAGACACACTGCTTTGCACCATCAGATTCATTTCTCTGAGACTATACAAATCCACTGTTTAGGAATTGGCTCTTCTGACTTAACACATGGCCTGTCCTTCCTTTCCAGGCCTTCTACAATTATCATGTCCTAGAGCTCCTTCACATGCTGGTGACAGGAGGACTAAGCTCCCATATGGAACAACATTTGAAAAGCGAAAGTTTAGGCGGGCCTTCTAACGGCTGCAATGTATTGTTGTCCAGAAGGAACCGCTGTAAGCTGGGACTCCTGTCCTTACACCGATCCATTTTGTTGGATATTCAAGTGAGTTTCCTGCTTCTTTTTGTCTCTGAATTTATGAAAGTGGTCTAGGCTATTTGTAGACAGCCTATAGCACAGAAATAATAATAATAATAATAACAACAACAACAACAACAACAACAACAAATTAATACAACTCATATTCAAAGAGTATTATACAATTTGCAGTGCATTTTCACATGTGTCATATTTGTTTTAACAATGCCAGGAGGTGGGTAAAGCAGTTGTTATTATCCCCATCTTCCAGATAAAAAAATCCAAGTCTTCAGGAAGCATCAGAAAGGTCCAATAACTTGTACTTTGACAAGGGTATCAATAATAATTGTAAATCTAATATTTACTGAGCATTTGTCCTGTGTCTGACTGCTCCCTCTGCCTTTCTCCCCTCCACACACTTAATCTGTCTGAAGATGTGCATAGTAAACATTTTTACTAGTTCCACTGTATAGATCAAGAAGGGCCAGGGAAACAAATGCTCACCTGAGACCACATTGTCTATCAGTGACAAAGCAGGGGCGCCTCTAAGGCAAGCTGACCCAGCTCTGCCCCTTCTCCCTGAAACACTAAAGAAATCCAATCAGGTCAGAGGAAATCAGGAAACTGATTGGGCTAGCCAGCAGAAAAGGCTTGAGTTTCCTTAGCCCACTGAACTGGTGAACAGTAGACTGGGAGAAGAAAACGATTCTGGCAGACTCCAGTGGACCACCTGGCATTTGGAAGGTCAGAATAGAGTCCAGCCTGGGAATGAGTAATCTGTTGATCAGTGTAGTGCTTTTGGATTTAATTTGTATTGACATTGCATTAAGCTCTCCAGTGTATCTGTAGGGGCAGGCCTCTTTAAAAATATATATATTTTATTGATTTTTCACAGAGAGGAAGGGAGAGGAATAGAGAGCTAGAAACATCGATGAGAGAGATACATCGACCAGCTGCCTCCTGCACACCCCCCACCGGGGATGTGCCTGCAACCAATGTACATGCCCTTGACCGGAATCAAACTTGGGACCTTTCAGTCCATAGACTGATGCTCTATCCACTGAGCCAAACCGGTTTCCACTAGGGCAGGCCTCTTTATAAAGAAACATATTTTGTTGGTTCAGAGGGCATCAGCAAAACCCCCTTCACAAGCAGCAGGCTCTTTCAAGCCTCTGTGCCAGGTATGTCTCAACAATTACGGGCTCTGTGCATCTGACTTCCAGGTGCAAACAACATTCCAGAGTTTCTTCAATAGAGTCCGGCCCTTTGTCCTTTTGTGGTCCTGGGTTCCTCACCAAAGGTTGACTTGTGAGTGGTTATATGCCCAGGACAATAGGCACTGACAATTTGTCAGTATCAGAGATAACAGTGCACTGGTGAACACACTTTTTTCTTTTTCCACTTAGGTCTGGTCCTCACCTTGTCCTTTATACTGGGGAGAACTGAAAGACTGCTCTCTTTTTTTTACTTCACTGAACCCATTAGCTGCTGTTTTTGAACCTGCTATGCCCTTCTAGAGCCTTTGTTGGCTATACCCTGAGAGCAGTGTCAAGAGCAGTACTTGGAGCTATAATCTATTGTTGAGTGGGATAAGAAGATCATTCCCTGGAGGTCACTTAATACCCTATTTATGTTCCCTGAAAATGGAATATTCCAACCTGTTGTTTACTGTTATGTCCTAATGGTTACCAAAATCATCATACCACACCCACCAAACACTCTTGAAAGACCAGAGTGATAAACTGGGATTAGATGATCAAAACTAATCACAAGCCTCACTTCCAAGCCACTTGGTAGTGCCACCATATAGATGTTAGGAGATGATGTCCAGGTCTTCCAAACCCTACAAGTAAAGGCAAATGACACTCCAGTAGGGTTTGTCATTGCTTCATTAAAGTGCCAAAAAAAACATGTATTTCTCTCCTCTCCCCAGCCAAAAAAGACATTTGGGCAAGTTTTCTGTGGCTTGTTGAATAATTGTGGAATCCTGTGCCTTGGCCTATACCGCCTGATAGATGATAACGAGGAGCGCAATCCGGATCACAAAAGGGGAGTATACTACTTTGGAAAGTGCTAGCCACACATCCAAGCATAAAAGCAAAAACTGCTTTATTCTAGGTGAAAGAGAGGTCCAGAACTCAAGGTCCACAGTTGCAAAGAAGGGTGCAAGGAAGTAGATTATAATGCTGTAGGAATAAGGAAGAATGCATGTAAATGACATGAATAAATCATGGTAATTATGATCTAATATAAGCCATGTAACATTGGCCTATCTGTACCCAATGAAAACTGACATGTAGACCCAGATTTTGAATCAGGTTTATTTTTTCTGTATTTTTTTACATTGTTTTGTTTTGTAACTTCCCATCTTTGACTATGTAATTTTTAAAGTTAAATGCCACTATTCACATTGGAAAGATTTACTTATTTTATGCTGGATTCCTTAGGTAAATATTTACTGAGTGCCTCATTTCCAGCCACTGTGCTTCATACATATTAATTATGGGAATTACATACTCAAATTTAAGTTTAAGGAAAGATCAATCTGACAACAATGGGGAAGATATAGGAAATGTACATAGAGGACAGCAGGAGAAAAGAGAGTATACAACAGTATACAACAACACAGTAATGTAGGTCTGAACTAATATTCATACAGTAGGAATGGATAGGAGTCCATAAAAGAGGAAAATTAAAAATATTGGTGTAGAAATAGATTAATAGAAAGTCATTCAGGAAGAAGGGGAAAGCAGTCAATTTACTCAAAATGGAGTAATATTGAATAGAAGGAAAGATAATCTCTCTGTACGTAGGAGAAAAGAAAGACAAGAATGGATGCCAAGAAAATTTAGCTATAGATGATGGGATATGCCTAAGGGAATTTTTATATAACACTAGGGTTTCTCAGTAAAGTACAGGGATAGTCATTGCTGAGAGAAAAGATGGAGGAGGAAATATCACAGGGAGTGGAGAAAAAGGTAAGAGTTTAGATTAACTACTAAGAGGAAAGGTAGGAGAGGTTTACTGTGGATCTGTAGGAGCGATTGTAGACTGTAATATGAAAGGACAAAGGATTGGAAGTCCTGATGAAGTGAAAGAGTAGATGTACTCAGCATGGGAATGAGAGCAAAAGAGTGATAGCAAGTTATTCGGTCAATAATATATTGAAGCATAAAGTTTTAGAGGGGAGATATATCAGGAAATGATAATATCCAGCGTGTGTCTAGGAAAGTGTGCTTTGGAGATAAAGATCACTTCACTGGGTAGTGGAAGTCAAAGAAATATGACTGGATGTTGGATTTATAAACCACATAGACACTAGAGGTGTGTAAGATGATGGAGGCACTAGAGATTGAGGTGTCCCAAGTGCCAAAGGCCTAAATAAACATGTAGTACTATAGATGACATCAGTGAATCAAGAGGGAGCGTAATAGGACTGAGAGCCCTAACCACAAAGATACTGAGGGGGCAGTGATGTTCTGGAAGCAGCACTGGGGAGGATGATTTATGCTGATATCTCTCTCTTTCTAGGGAGTTCTTTAGAGAGGAGCTTCTTCTTCTTGAAGTCTTTCTTCTGTTTCGTGCACGTCCTCTCCTCTCTCCTACTCTACTAATTTCTACTTATTCTTCTTCTTCTTCTTTTCTTCTTCTTCTTCTTCTTCTCTTCTTCTTCTTCTTCTTCTTCTTCTTCCCTATTTCTCCACTCCCTGTGATATTTCCTCCTCCATTTCTCTCAGCAATGACTATCCCTGTACTACTACTTCTTCCTCTTCTTCTTCTTCTTCTTCTTCTTCTTCTTCTTCTTCTTCTTCTTCTTCTTCTTCTTCTTCTTCTTCTTCTTCCCTATTTCTCCACTCCCTGTGATATTTCCTCCTCCATTTCTCTCAGCAATGACTATCCCTGTCCTCCTCCTTCTTCTTCTTCTTCTTCTTCTTCTTCTTCTTCTTCTTCTTCTTCTCTCTCTCTCTCTCTCTCTCTCTCTCTCTCTCTCTCTCTCTCTCTCTCTCTCTCTCTCTCCCCCTTCCAACCCTTCCTCTCTTTGCCTGAACTCCATCCCCTCCCCTGACACATCTGGAAAACTTGTGGCACATGGTAATTGAGATAATATGCTGTCCATACCTGAGAGAATGGCAGGGAAGGAAATGAAATTTCTGTTCTAAAGGGAGTATGTGATTATTGTTGACCTTGTTTAGGATATTATAGAGGTTACAGAGGATTCAGTGGAAAAGATAAAAGTGGGAAGATTATTCAGCAAAAGAAAGTCAACCTTGAATTGAGATTGGTGTTTTCAAAAGGAGAGATGATCACCTGGGGTGGCAATGAAAAGTCATGAAAGTTTATCCTGATTCTGACATGAGCACTGGGGTATTAGTTAATGTAACTCATTTGCATTGAGGATTTGCTCTGTGTCTGATGCTGTGTAAGGCATCCTGCCTCCCTGCATTCTTTCCATGCAGGTCCAGTCTCTGGGTGTTTTTTAAGGCTCATCAATACTCACTACCGTGTTTCCCCGAAAATAAGACATCCTCCGAAAATAAGACCTAGCGCATGGAAAGATAAGACATCCCCTGAAAATAAGACCTAGCGCAACTTTGGGAGAAAAAATTAATATAAGTCACTGTCTTATTTTCGGGGAAACAGGGTAGTTACATGCCAGTCAAGGTTTCAAATACAACTTTAGTTTAATTTTTGTTTCTTTTCCTCATTGATCAAACTACGTTCCATGTAAAAGTTGGTGGCATAGCATTAGGGGTAGGCCCAAGTCAGGATGGAAATATCTGGAGTGCACGTGATCTTTCACTTTTGATCAAGCTTGGCTAAGTGCTCGGTATTGTGCTAGCTGAAGTCCTTAGTGTAGTGGATATTGAAAGAATCCTGGGGTCAGAAAGGTCTTTAGAGATCTACCAGTCCAAACCACAGCTGTATCCCTCTCCCATTAAAATAATGAGAAAACCAAGGCCCAGAGAATGGAAATGCCATGCATAAGAGCGGTTAGTGACAGAGATGGGGATAAAAACTAGTCTTCCAGTTTCTACTCAAGGACCTCTCTGACTATGCTAGTCACCCAGTACAGACATACTAATCACAAAACAACAACAACAATGAAGCAAAGTGAAACAGTAGCATTTCCTCTTTGGGCCTATCGAGATGACTGCTGCACTTTGGCCATTGCCTATTGCCACCCTGTCCCAGCTGTGGAAGCTCTGACTCATCTTTGCCTTTTCTTACAGGTTTGTGATTATCCGGCCAGCCAATGAGTTTAAGCTGCTGCCCTCAGACCTTGTGTTTTGTGCCATCCCTTTCAACATTCCTTGTCGTGAAAACGATTTTTCTTGGGAAACTATAAATACAATACCACAGGCCTCAAAGGCACCTTCAGGCATAAATAACCCTCCCACAGCCAGTCCTGTTGGCCAGACCACAACACAGCTATTGAGCGCACTAGTCCCTTTATGGGAGCAAAAGACTACCTCTGTTAGTAATTCTAAGCAATCCATTTTGACTCAGAGTGGTGAACTATCACCCCAGACACATACGGGAAAGGAAAATATGAAGGAGCCCCCTGCGGGGCCTGTGCCTATTCAAACTTGATCTGCTGGTATTCTCCATAAGCTCCTAGCTAGCTATCTATAAGGCATGAAAATGGTGACTTTGAACAAGATAAATAAGAATGGAAGCATGCCATTGCCATGCCCATTGCTTCATGGTTGATCAGCAAGCCCACACTATTTGGGAAGAAGCAAAAGGCTGATCCAATCCTGCTGGATCTGGTGCAATAAATAAATAAATATATGATTTTAAAATGTCTCTGTAAGGAAGTTCATTGCTTTGTGTCCCTTAAAAAGAAAATGTGTTAAGCTGTGGGAAAAAAAAAAGAAAAAAGAAAAAAGAAAAGAAGTCCTCAGGCACTTCTGGGTCTCCCCAGTCAGAGAATATAATCAATCAAAATAAAAATGAGAAGGACATAGACACAGAAGGCAAGAAATAAAGAACTTCCAAATTAAAAAAAAAATCTTACATTCTTTCTCCTCAAACTGGCAAATAGTAAACTAGCATATTATTTTCTTCTCTCTTTTTTTCTCATACTTTTTCTTTCTTCTGACTATAGGAGGTCAGAAAAACCATTTGGGGAGATGCTTGTTTGAATTAGAAACCAATTTGTATAAAGCCAAGACCTTAGTATATGCCTAGCACAAGAATGAATGTTAGAATATCTTGGAATGGAGTGGCTGGGTGAGGTCAAGTAAAATGAAATATATAACTTTCCAAATTTTGTAAATCAAGAATAAAGACATATAACAAACATATTCCAAAAGAATCAATTCACTGCTCTATAAACCTCATCTTAAGTCATTTCACCCACGTATTTAACATAAGAAAGAAAAGTTCAATAAATCCAGAAAGTATTTACTCGCAATCAGTGGTCTTGTAATGATGAGCTTCATAAGCAATCCCTGCTTGTGCCATAGATACCAGATAGATGGGAGGGAAGAGGAAAGAAAAATAAAGCATATTTCTCATAAATTGTTTTGCATATTGTTTTTTATCTCATTAACATTTAAAAAACATCTTTGCTGATTTGTACTATTACTTCTACTAGAGGTGTGGTGCATGAAATTCATGCATGGATAGGGTCCTTAGACCTGGCTAGCGATCAGGGTTCTTTGAGGCCTTCCAGCTGCTGGCCAGGGCCTTCCTTCATCCCATACCACCCTCTGGTGGTCAGCACATGGCACAGTGAGTGAGTAAACTCCTGGTCTTCTGGTCAAACTCTGGAGGAGATACTTTGCATATTAGCCATGAAATATTAGTCATGACCCACTGCATGAAATTCATGCACATTAAAAGGGAATTAATTAAAGGAAACATTTTAATATTGCTATATCTATATAATTGAAGTGTCAGAGATGAAAGAAAATTAGTAAAATGTATATGAAAATCTTACTCCTGTCAGAGTCTCAGGCATGCCACAGGAACCAGAGTCAAGTCCCCACTCACACACATGCACCTCAAAATTGTGCAAGATCCAGATGTGGCCGGCCCCACCCCTATTGGGCTAGATACAGACCCTGCCAGCCCCACCCATATCAAGCCCTACCGGGTGGGGAGCATGGCCTCAGGTTACCTGGCCTGGCACCAGGGCGAGGTGTACAACCTGAGATCTCCCAGCCCGGGCCAGGAAATATGGTCTGAGGTCCCCTATAAAGCCCCACATAGTGGGCTCATGGCCTCAGGTCCTCTGGCCCTGCGCTGGGGTGGGGTCTGTGGCCTGAGGTCCCCTGGCAAGTCCCACTGGGTAGGGGGTGTGCCCTAAGGTCCCTTGTCCAGCCCCACCAGGCAGAGAGCACAGCCTTAGGTCCCCTGCCCCAGCCCAGAGCCATGCAGCCTCAGGTCCCTGCTGATGGCTCGTTTAGGCTCTTTGCAGAAACTCAGCCTCTGCTGTGGGCATGGCCATCTTGTGTTACAGGATTTCTGCCTTTGCTGTGGGTGTAGTCACCTGTGTTATGGAATCCTTGCCTCCTCTTTGGGTGCAGCCATCTTGTTATAGCACAATGGTCAATTTGCATATTCCTCCTTTATTAGATAGGATAGATTTTACAAAGAAAGAAACTATGTCACAAATAAAGTCGCCAGGTAAAGTATACCCAATTAAATTTGAATTTCAGATAAACAATCATTAGTATTTCTAAATTATTGCATTTAACAAGTAAGTGATCAAATCAGCATGCAAAACTTTTTTTTTTACTCCAGTACTTATACATATTATGTCTCCAACCATACAAATAAAAGAAATAAAACAAACAAAAATTATTTACAGGAAATAAAATTTTTATTTAGCTAATGTTATAATGAAATCAGCCTAATCTATGTGGGATAAAAGAACAATTGTAAGGGAAGTTTTCAGAAACCAAGGAAATATTGTTTTTTCTTTTTTAAGCTTACCTGTCTTCTTCTTCATTCTCTTTTTACATAGAAATGGCAAAATACATTCTGCATTTTCAAATTTATAAGTAAAGTTATAAGTGTATGGGAAATTAAACTGTCCTGTGTCCAGATCTCACATCCTGATTTCCAGAAGAAAGTGGGTACTGGGTTCAACTTTGCCACTCTCTCCCACTATTGATGGCTGAGGAGTGAGGTGCCTCTGAGTGGAGGACTTGTCTTCATGGAAGGAAGGGGGAATGGCTCATGGCCTTGGAAGGTATGCTACTTTCATCTCCTGCATAAACAATATTCTTTCTCCCCATTCCCTGGGCCATTTTATACACATAGCTGGTTTAACAGAAACAAAATATTTCTGAAAAAGTATGGAGGAGCCCTGTGTGTATTCAAAATCCAAAAATCTATCTCTGTACAGATATTGACTGATCTGTTCAGCATCCCAGTCTCACTCAGTTCCCCAGAGTAAAATCTTATCCCACAAATGATTTCATTTCCAACAGAGCAAATTAATTAGAATAATAAATTATTTATTCTTCAGTATTTATTGGAATGGGTATTTGAAACATGGCTAAAGAAATATTGAGGTATATGCAACCATAGCCAATGTTTGGGCTCTCATACTGCCACTATGGATAAATAAAATTGGCAGAGTACTCCTAGACTTATGTGCCAAGTGATTTTATAGCTTCAGAGCCAAGCCCTTTACCTATAGTTGGCAACATTTTGATACAAGTAATAAAACTAGATCCTTTGACAATATAGTGGATACTTAATTCATACCAATTGTTCAATTCTTATTAATAGAAGAAATGATATGAAGACAAGAGAAAACATGCAAGCAACTTGAAGTTTGTAAACAATATGTGGGTCAGCAGTTATCTTAAAGACTGCTGACCCTTTTGAAAATTGGATAAAAGCTATATTCTTCCTTTCCAAAGAAATTAATATGTATATATTCCACAAAACATCATTTAAGTGTGATGGAGGTGATGGATCACCCTGTGTTCTCCATTGTCTTCCCAAATTCCTAATATAGCTCTTCTATCCCCAGTGGAGTGGTCACCAGAAAGAACTGTTCAATGATTGGCTGAGTACTTGGTTTAGGTATCACTTCAAACATTTGTGATCATGAGCAAATTCTCAAATCTTTCTCAGCTATTTTACCAGCTAATTTTTACATTTTATAAATGAAAGAATTTGAACTAGAATATTTTAACATAACTTCCATCTTCTTCATTTATTGAACATATATTAATGTACTCACTACCTACTGTGTATCAGCCATGGTGTTAGATTCTGAGTTAGAGGAATTTCCAAGATGAAGTTGCTTTCTTCATGGAGCATGCATTCATTCATAAAACAAATGAATAAATTAACAAAAGTACAGATTGTGTCAAGTTCTGTGAAGAAAATGAATATGATGTGATAGAAAATGTGGTGGTCAGGGGCCATTGAAGGGTGGGATCTTGTAGAAAAACTGTTTTTATAATAGGAAAAGGGAACTCAAACTGTTCAAGGAAAGAAAGAAAGCCAGTGTGGTTAGAGCATAGTGAATAAGCCAGAGGAAGAGTTACATGTGACGATGTTGGAAACATAGGCATGACCTGATTAAGAAAGATTCTGTAGACCAAGAGAAACAGATTATATTCTATTCTAAGCACAATAAGAAACTCTCTAATAGTTTTAAATAATGGAATGATGTGCTGTCATTAATACTTTTTAAGATCACTCTGGCTGTTAGGATTTCAGCAGAATGACAAAGTGAATTCAAGTAGCCAGAAGCAAGAGGGAGTTCATATTTAAAAAAAAAAAATGTATTTGTGAGAGCTATAGGATTCATATAGAGAAATGTTCAATAATTGGCTGAGATTATACCATTTGGAGCCGGGACATATAGATGAGAACTGAGACCCAATTTAACCATCACCTGGGAAGGTTCAGTCCATCTGCATAAGTGCTAATAAACACACTCACCCTACTTGTCCAAGAAAGGAATATGAAAATTTATCTTAGGGATACAGATAGACAAACAAACCAATAAAAAACACCTATCATGAGAAATTGAAGCTCTAAGCTAATATCATATGCAGTTGTAGTATCCAAATTCATATCTTACATGGCAGAAATTTAAAACTGAGAAATATCTGGTTCCAGACTAATAGGCCCCTTGAGGTAACTGGTAGAAATAAATAATACTGAGCAGAAAAGAATTCTACACTCATGACCAACAGGACTCCCTGGGTTGGGGGGCAGTGAATTTAATACTTTTTAAAAACTGACAATAAGCTCATAAAAGGTTAGAAATGAGATGAGAAAATTATCTTTTTAAGTGAGATAGATTCAGCAGACAAATTGGACAAGAGGGTTAGTATGATCCCAAATTTTGGATAGTAGAACAATCTGGAAAAGACCATAAAATTTATACATTAAAAAATGGTTAATGATTTAAAAATTTCAAAAATATGAGTAGAAGGCATACTGAAAGTAAAGGATACTATTAAAAATTAGCAGGCAGAGTTGAAAAAGATTCACTTCTAGAAATGGTTTATTAAATTATACATGTAATTTAGAAGTTGAAAAATAAATCAGAAATAGATAAATCTACAGAAATTACTTAAAAAGTAAAATGGAGAAATAAACACATGGAA